TTTGCTGACTAAGGCCGTTTTTTGGTAGCTCCAGTGGGACAATCGTGATGGGCCAACATACCATACATTATACCATTTTACTCCTTGTTCAGCACATTTGTACCAAGTCTCATTTTATGCCTCTAGTTTACAAGGGTATACAAAACAGATGGAAAGAATGCGTGCCTATAAAGCAAACCTGCCCTTCTCCATTTCAACCTTAACCAACGCCATCCCATGTTCACTCTTGTGGAAATGAACAGTAATTTGACAAACATACCCCTCGGTTCGGCAAGGCCATGCGTTTTCTAAATTTTTTTCTTTCATGTTTATTAAATTAGCATTCAGTCGTAGTTATACTTCTAAGAAGGAACCAATTGCCCACAGCAGACCACAACCAGCCAGAGCAGTTGCACCGACAACCTTCTTGGTCCACCACTTATCGTCTGTCAGGACTGTGGCGCCTTGAAGCTTGGTGACTGGCTCAGTGGAAACGCTGGCCGGCACAGAGGACGTGTTCCTGGGGGCTGCATCCTCCTCAGCTTCCTTCTCCCGCAGAATAGAAATGGTTTTGCTGAGGGCAAGTAGCTGCTCGTCAAGGGACGAGCTCGAGTCGCGATCAACCTCCACGTTTTGGATGTTGCCGAAAAAATCAGTAATGAGGCGGCTGCGCGCACCCTCAGCACCGCCAGGGAATAGATCGTACCGAACCCCAGCATGGGAGTGGATCTTTTCGTAGTCGTAGCTGTCGAACAGTTCGCCCACTGTCCTGGGGCTGTTCAAATCCTTGACCTGGTTTTCGAGAAACTCCAGATTATAATAGGTGTATCGATCGATAACAGCGACGCCAACGTCATTATCTGCGTGGTGTGAATATGATGATTGGTCGAGTTCGGATGACCCAGTGGCGATAATGTTCGGCGAGTACAGTCTGCTGTACATGGTGTTTGCTTGGCAAGTGTCAATCATGAAGAGAATCTCGTGGTATCTTGTCAAGTCTCAGGTTAGCGTTGACTTCCAAAGCACAGCAGGCCCAACAGTTCTTAGCAAGTTACGAACCTCTTCTTCTCCCACATTTGTTGAAAAGCATCTGCAAGATCGAAAGAGCCGATTTCCTCGGCATCCTGGAACTTCAAGAACTCATTTCCCCCGTGTCCCGTCATATATACAAGAATATTGCTTCGGTCGTCGGTTAACAAGCGTTTGCTGCGAGGCATCTCATCGCCAACACGGTCTGTCAGCAGTCGGATAAAGTTCTCAACCGTAACTTCATAGCCACGATAGTCGACCTCGATATTGTCGCCGTACAGATCAACAGCTCGGTCGGAATTGCTGTAGACAGTGCCGGGGAATGCATTCCGTGGGTTGCAGGCCATATCGTCGGGAAGCATGAGAATGATTTGTGAATCAGGTATGCCTAATCGCTTGACTGTTCTATATATAGATAATACGTTTGCTAAGTGGCGGTAGTTGAACCAGAATCGCGACGTGCACACGAGAACAGCCCAATTGCTTGTGTGCTCCGAAAGGCCTGCGGTGGCGAGCATGGCCACAGCCATGGCTGCAAGCTGCAGCTGGGAATTTGTAAACTTCATCGTAGAGCACAATGATGCAGTGACGTGGGCGCTCAGAGTACCGGTAACAAATCCGTGCCTAAGAACTGACAATGATCATGACCTGGTAGGGAGAATTCCAGAGGCTGCAGAGCGCCCGGAGATGTGGTGATGTCGGAGAATAGCCGACGCGAAGTGACAGATGACTAGGGGTGGGCTTACAAATGGGGACATCAGCCAGATTAAATGGCCCGCAGCCAGTGCTGGCTGGCGGGGCACGCCTGCGCTTTCAAACACCTCGCCCAGAATGCAAACACGTGCGCCTCAATGCCTACCTAGGTATTGATGCAACCCGCGGAGACCCTGATTGTTTCGCTGCTCTTATTACTATCTGCGCTTGCTACTTGGCTGCTAAAACTATCTTGCGAGCTCACTTGCCAACCGCCAAATTGTTCCTTCACTCAAAATCCATAAAGTCGTCGTCGTCATCTTGTTCCATCATAAAGCTCAGCAAGGATGAACCAGGGTGACCCTCACCACAGCACGGGCAGATTCCTTCGTCATCTGTCTCCCAATCAGCGTCGGCAATCTCATGCCCGCCTCGCCGGGAAAATTGTACCCAGTTTCGCGCGTCGTCATCACGGCTGAGCGGGACTCGTTTCCATATCACCTTGTCAGGGTCTCGTGACGATGTCGGGTGGCCTTCTTCGACCGGAGCGGGTGGCATAGTGCCGATTCTGGCGTGGGAATGTCCGTGAGGATGGGGACCATCCATTTCATCATCCTCGTCATACTCATCAGAATCGTCATCATCTTCTCTGCCCTTGAACGCCCTGACAACCCTGGCACACCAACGCTTACCGGACAGTGGCTGCAGCTGCTTGACAAGGGCAACGAACGATGCCGATCCATCTAGATATAGACCCTCGTCTTTTAGCATGCCGCTTAATTCGGCCGAGGCCTTCATTCCAGCGTCGTCGAATGGCATGCCTGTTACCTGAAGCTCGTTAAGTGTGCACCCCAACTCATGGGAGGCAACCTCATGCAACTCAGAGCCGGAAAAGGGGAGAAGCGTTTCCGAAAAATTGACGAGATCTAGTCGTAACGACAAAAGCCCTGGGAGTAGTCGAGGCCTAGGATTATTCTTGTCTTTGTAGTTCGGGTCGTACGGTGCACGGAGGGCCATCAAAAAGTCTGTAATCTGAGACCAAGCATAACATCGAAAGCCCCCTCTAATGAGCGGTGGTTCCTTTGGCCGTAGCCGAACTTTTAATAGTTGATCCTTTTTGAGTTCAGCATGATAGCCTCGTTCAAGTCGATGCTTCCGGCGTTGGTCGTCGTAATAGCGGGCGATGACGCGCAGATTTATATGTGTGATTTGGTTCCGATACTGGGAGCTCAGTTCGGAGAAGTTGCGAAGTGCTTCTGGAGTAGTGAAAGTGAAGTTGTTTGACTCCCAAAAGTATCGAGTGCCTTCTGTATGAAGAGCCCTGCAAGTGGCCAGAAAATGTATCGCAACTTGATTGCCACGCGCCTTTTCCTTTTCAGAAAGATGCTCATGAGACAGCTTGGATAAGGGATCAATGATAGGATGAGGGCTTTTCATAGCGAATTTTAAGATTCTTAAAATAACTTCGGTTGGCAAACTAGGGCAACCAAGCTCGTGTGCGGACATAGAAGCCCGAGTCCGACGCCGAAGAGCAGGGTTCTGTTGTATTAAGTGTGCTTGAGCCACAGGTGACCAGGATATGCCGTTTTCCCGTAGAATCCTCTTCAATCGCATGTTCTCCTCCATAAGAATTTGGTTTGTACGTCTCATAGGGTGATTAAAGGATGCCTGTGCTTGGTCTTCTTTATCACGACATTCCCAAGGAAAGGCAATCTGCGTCGAAGTTAGCAAACAACCGGACCATCTCCCAGAAGAATGATAGTGGGCGTCATACCGTTGCGGACCCGGCCATGATGAGAATTTCTGTCTTTGAAGTAAAAGTTATGGTTTTCAGTCGTATCAGGGTAATGGAAGTCAGGGCGTCGTGTTTCGCTTGTGTCACCGGCCAGACACTTAGTTGGAGTGGCGTAAGAGGATGGAACAAGAAGTCTTCCCGAAAAAAAATATTGGCAGCAAGTGCACAGCTTCACCTAAGCGCGAACAACCCTCCTTCGGTGGGTGAACTGGCCGTTGCCAGCTGCACCCTGTCGAAAAAAAGAAGTCGAAGTTCACAGGTAAATAAAGTTGCACATGGCTCCTGGAATCCAAGTGTCAAATACCAGGTAGGGTAACACAGGATCAACGGCACGATGTTGAGCAACCCCGAGTGTTCACCTGGATCGATTTGAAAGTCGGATCAATTGATTGATGATGATAAGTGAGCAGGCGCCGCCGACTAACCGAGTGGGGGGTTAAAAGGCCGTCGCCAATCCAAACAACACTGTCCGTCTGCTAAGGCTGCAGAGAAGACTCGCTCGAGTGCCTCCAACTTTGTAGGGGGGAACGGAATGGTGATGTAGATGGAGAGAATACAAACTTTGGGAAAGAGGGATTAATTTGCAAGCTGTGACATCTAGACTGAGACCAGGACCTGCATTCGGGGTTGAACATAAATTGTCTCAAGGGTCCTCTTGGTCGTTCCAGCTGATTCGCTTCGACGCACTTGCCCGACAGTCGAGCAAAAGACCTCGCAATTGGTCTGTTGTGGCTATTTGGTTCAGTCAATGAACGGCATGAGTGGAGCGGGCATGGCTCGGACGCACCTTCTTCCTGGAGTCAGCATAACCTTGGAACCCACCAAGGGCGGGAGAGGGCGTAAGTTTGCAAGTACAGGCCGCAATGATTTGTTACATTGCGTCATGTGATAGTACGAGACTACCAGTACCTAGACCTCTACCGCGTTCGTATTTGGTCAGCATTGTCGGCCATTATTACTCGAATACGACATGGTGGATTGCTTGTAATGACCAATCCGAGGAAGCCGCTTTTTATGTTTTGAGTACTAGTATTGTCGAAGAATTACGAGCAGACGGTACGCTTTGCTTCTTTTCACGGAGTACCAGTGGAATCTTTTGTTTCAACTTAATGACATGACATCCGCGGCATGTCTCAGCGATTTGTTTCGGGAAATCGACCTGCAGGTCATGATCGACCGCCCAATGCTGAGAGAATGCAAGACCCAAGCGGTTGAGACCAGCCTATAGTATTCGTGCTCGATCTGTATAAAGTATAGCCAAACCTAGGTCCAGTAATTAATATCCACGAAGTACATTGGACCATAGAATGTCTTTGATATTTGCGACGTCGCGAACCTTGACCCCTTCAGTTACCTGTCCATGAGAGGCCTGATTTCTGTATTCAGAGTACGGATATCATGCTAGTCATATCGCAAAAAAAAAAAAAAAAAAGACTGCTGCTTCATTTAAGACAAATTCTTTAATGCTCGCAGTTTAGGTTCTCCTTTGTGTAGCGGCAGGCTTTCAAAGCTGCTTCCCATAGTCCTCCTTCCAAATCTTGTCCCATTTCTCCTTATCTACAGCAAATTCCCGAACGTAGTCGAGTTCCAGCTCATGCGTCCGCCTTCCCAGCAAAACCAAACTGTGTAGCGGGGGGCCGAGAAGATCATCAGTCGAACAAAGCTCCTCCAGAGTCCCGGCAATGAACTTCTCTGTTTTCCCGCCCACTCGAGCCGCTCCAATGGCCAAACTATCACGGGTGTATGCACCTTCTCTCTTTTCATCTTCAATCTCAATCATCTGTTGAGCGCACTGCCCTACAGTCATGTATCGTGGGGGTTCATAAACCAGTCTTCCTCTGGCCATATTCTCCAAACTCTGTTCCTTGACTTTGATATCCACTAGAACCAATGTATGCAACCCAATATTACGATTCTCCTTGATACGGTCGTAGAAAGAGGCAGGCTTCCATGAATCTGTAAAGAACACCATAGACACTGTTTGTCCAAAGTTATATAGTTGGAGGCCGCAAGCGCCGATGCCGGACATGATGGATGCGTTTGGCACAGTTCGCACAGGGATAGACAGTTCGCGTGCTCGAATAACTAGGTCGGTGTGTGTTGTCGCACTGCGTTCTCTATCAGCCTCGATTGTGGGCGGTGGCCAGCATCCGTGTGCTTACCCGAAGGGATCGCCGACGACAAGGAAGGCAACGTCTTCGTTTTGGGCGTTGCGCAGAATCTCGTCGCTATTTGATTCGACCATTTCACGGTCAGCGATTGTTATTGAGCGACCATAATACTCCTCCTGCAACAAAAGAAGAAGAAAAGAAAAAAAAGTTAGCCAAATTCTCCAGATCAGTCCTGACGAAGGCTTACAAGCACAGATTGGTCCACAAGCAAGATGCTGGTGTAGGCTTCCAGATACACTCTGGACACCTTCTTGACGACTTCCAGACCCTTCACCGTGATATCGGTCTCGTCGGATAGACCAAGTCCCACAAGATACAACATTCTGCCCGGTCGAACTGTTTCCGCCTATTGCAATATTTAAAAAAAAGGATAAATAGACTGGTTGACGTTTGCAGGACATTAAAAAATTGCCCCTCCGCGGGGCAGTTTTTGACGCACCAGTCCTCCGTAATGTTCATAGACCTGCATTGGCAGCTCAGCGCGTCCCAGACCCATCTCCGGCCATCTAGCAGCAGCAGTCCCTGGTCCATTGAAAACGATCCACCAACTCGAGAGCAAGGTAGGCGGATCGAACTCAGTCTTACAATGCACCGACACAGCACGCAGCGAAATCAACCACAGGTCGCTGCGTCGCTACCATCATGACTGACTCCAAAAAGGGCAGCGCATACGGTGCCCCGGCTGGCGACACTGATTTTCGAAAGACGTGGGATCTGGACGAGTATGCGGCCAAAGCCAAGGAACGCGAGGCCAAGGAGAAGGAGGAGGCAAAGGCGCGCTACGAAGCAAAGCTCGCTGGCAAGAAATACCACAAGCCATTAACGGGCGATGAGACATACACCACGGCCAGGCGAAATGTCATCGATCTCACTGCACAAGTCGGCAAGACGCAGCTTGTGCCCGCCGGCGCCGGCGTCGGAAAACGCGGACGAAGCGCTGGTTTCTACTGCGAGTCGTGCGACCTCACATTCAAGGACAACAAGCAGTTTATCGAACATTTAAATACAACGCAGCATCTGTTGAATACCGGCCAAACGACGGAAGTGAAACGTGCTACAGTGGAGGAGGTTCACGAGCGCATTTCGTACTATATTCGGAAGAAGGAAGAACTGGAGAAAGAAAAGGCCACGAGCCTGCAGGAAAGGCTGCACATACGAGAGGAAGAGAGGGAAAAGGAGCTCGAGGAAAGGCGGCAACGAAGAAGAGACGAGGCGGAGAAGAAGCGGAAAGAAAAAGAGGATGCTGCCAAGGTCAAGACAGAGTATGGTGAGGATGTGCGCATCGAAGGAGAGCATGACGAAGACGACATGATGGCTCAGATGGGCTTTACCGGATTTGGATCATCCAAAAAGTAGTGTTTTCTAACATGGCAAACACGATTAATTATACATTTGATACCCCGTGGCAACCGTTTGCCCTAGATTTTCTCCTGTGGGGGGAGCTGCTCGCGAGTGAAAGGCAGTCTTTACAGAAGTAGCACATAAAATACATACTATGCATCAACTTTGTTTAGAATCAAATGCCGTCAATTCTGCAGCATGCTGCTTGACTCGTTGGCAACAGAGCTCGGCGAGGTCCGGCCCAGCGAGCATTGAAGAGTCGATCGAGCTGCACCAGCCTGCCCCACGCACTTTTACACCAAAGCAGCTCGGTACTATGCAGAAGCTGGACAGATGACCAGGGGTGTCGCATCTCCAAATCAACCACGTATCGTTCCTTGGCATCGCCAACAGCTACCCCAGATAGCACGCTGCTGTCCCATCCTGGAAGGCGACAAAAGGCCAGGCAGCGCCAGTGAGGAGAGAGTGCGCAGTCTCGGCCACCAAGGCTTCAGCATTCTCACGTGTGCATTTGGGCGAAGCATCATCCGGTAGCCAACACGCTGAGCTGGGCGTTGACACTTGCGAACTTTCCAGCCAACGCCGCGAGCCAATGTAAAGGACATTTCGGACTGTGGTGACTGAGTCAATTTGCTTGGATACGCACAACCAGCACGACTTGCGCAGAGCCAGTGGTCAATCCAAGCTTCAATTGCTTGAGACTTCAGTTTTACGGCCCGCCTGCCCGTCATCATGGATGCAGCATTTTTCTTATCCCTTTCAGCGGGAGTCGTCTCTGTTTTTCTGATGAAATATGGTCTCCAAGCACTCAAATGGCTAGCCTCAGCCCTTTACTACTCTATCCCAACCCGTTATAAAGCTGCACAACGACCCGAAGACGATCACATCCAGATTCTAGTCCTGGGCGATATTGGGAGGAGTCCACGTATGCAGTATCACGCCATCAGTGTTGCCAAGCATGGCAGGAAGGTTGACATTGTGGCATACAAGGGTGAGTTTTGCGGTCTGCTTTTCCATCTTCTATTAGGATGCTGCTGATATTGACGCCTCGCAGAAACTGCCAGACATCCAGACCTCATTGGCAACGAAAGAGTGTCCATGTATGCTCTCGCGCCGCAACCAGAGTGGATTGCCTGGGGCACGTTGCCCTTCTTCCTGAATATACCGTGCAAAGTCATTCAGCAGTTCTGGACGCTGTTTTACACCATGATGTGGGCGACTCCCGCCGCAAAATGGATCATAATTCAGGTAGGACGACTACGAGTTTGGTAAAAAATCTGCATCGCGTTAACTCTCCTAGAACCCTCCATCGATTCCCACTTTCCATGTTGCTCTCATCGTATCTCTCATCCGCGGAAGCAAAGTCGTTATCGACTGGCACAACTATGGGCACACCATTTTAGCCCAGAAATCCTTGTATTCTATTTTTGTTCCCTTTTACAAGTGGTACGAGATCATCCTTGGCAAGTTTCTTGGAAATGCCAATCTGGCCGTCACGGATGCCATGGCTCGTGAGCTTCGAGGGCCGAAATTCAACCTGAAGAACCCCGTTCACACCCTTCACGACCGCCCTCTTGATCTTTTCCAACCAATCACTTCCACGAAAGCGAGAAAGGAATTTCTCTCGCGGCTGCCTGAGACGAAACCCCACGTTGGAAACATTCTTGACGGAACAATGCGGCTCATTGTCAGTAGTACGTCGTGGACTCCAGACGAGGATTTCAATATTCTCCTCGAGGCACTTGTGCTCTATGCGAACCCCAGCGAAGACGACGCCTCCAGCGAGCCGCCTTCACCCATTCTGGCCATCATCACTGGCAAGGGCCCAGAGAAAGAAAAGTACCTGGAAATGATCAAACAGATCCAGGACAACGGACGGCTCCCTGGCATCCAAATCCTGACAGCCTGGCTTTCTAACCGCGATTATGCCTCGCTCCTTGGCTGCGCCGATCTCGGGATTTCGTTGCACAAGTCCAGCTCTGGAGTTGACCTGCCCATGAAAGTGGTTGACATGTTTGGTGCCGGCTTGCCTGTAGCAGCTTACAGTGCATTTGAAAGCTTCAGCGAGCTCGTCAAGGAGGGACAAAACGGGTGCGGCTTCGAGACCGCTGCGCAACTGACGGAAATTCTGAAGAGACTGTTCAGTGAGAAGGGTCAGGACGAGTTGGCCCAGCTGAGAAAAGGAGCCGTTGAGGAGGGGTCTCTGCGATGGGACGAGGAATGGGATCGTGTCATGGCCCCCATAATTGGCATTGATGCCAAGGCAGGAGCTGTGCGTTAGATAAATCAATGGAACGAAGAGGAATTGAAGCATGTCTCCATGAAGCAACACGCCGATATGACCAGGTAACAAGTGCTCTCATTTTACATGCCGTTTGCAAGCCCATGAAACTCCGTGTACCTCGTAAAAAATGGCATCCAAGGCTGCGCCAGACTGACTACCAACTCTTGAAGTCCAGGAAAACGCCACTGCTATGAAACTCCAGCCCTTCCCATGCGCATCATTTTCATCATTTTTAGTCTTCTCCCAAGCTCTCACGAACACATTTTCGGCACCTCTTCCTGAACTCCTTGTGCTTCCCCTCCCTCTCCTCCCGCAGCAGCCTCGCAGCCTCCACATTCGCAGGGCTCTCATCGTTGGGGCTATGGAACAGGCTGATCGTGCTGAGGAGAATGGTTTCCGGGGATTGAACAGGGCTCCACCGCTCAGCGGCGGTTTCGTAACCATATTCATCGTCCTCGGGAGGATGAAGGATGGATATGCAGAGGTTGCCGTTCTCGTAGATGTTCGGATGGAAGGGGATGGGCGTTTGGAAGGTCAGAGACGGTGGCATGTGCGGGTATGTTTGAGGGAAGACCATGCGGGCTCGAAAGTTGCCTCCTGCAGAGCGTTAGTTTCGCGGTAATACCGGAGCCATGGGCAGTGCCACGGGTTGAAGGGAAGGCGCACCGCCGTAGTATTTGCAGTCGTCGTTTATCATTAGCATCACTTCCCATTCGAATATGTTGCTGTCGTTGACGAGTCCGCAGGAGATGCCGGGCAGGTCTTTGCCCGTTTGGATCTCCTTGAGCTGGCGCTTTAGGAGGGAGGCGGCCGGGGAGGTGGTTGAGGCCATGGCTGCGACGGGGTTTCAACGGGGTTTCGACGGTCGGTACGGGGGATGTCTTTTGTGCTGATTCGTGGGGGGCGGAGGATGGGCCAGAGCCTTGCATGCGGTGTTGTAGATCTAGTCGTCAACGGTATTTGTAGTTGAGGAAGAGGGCAAGTAGTGGTCAAGCCATGGACTGGTCAATGGTGGACTCGAGGTTGAGGATGGTGGGGGCGGATGGCGGCGGCAGTTTCCTTTTGGCGGGGAATATTGAACATCGCATTTCCAAGCTCCCTCATGGCATTTTGTGGTGAGGACCAAATTCGAGCGAGGCTTGAACCTTGGCCTCGTTCACCTATCGTCTTGGCCCAGCGACACCGCAAAAACGTTTCAGCGCGCCAGAGTATCTCCGTGGCTACTGGCGCTGATCAAATCAAAGGCGGATTTCTCAACGAAGCGGCCACCACCATTACGACGGGCTATGCGTACTTCAAAACTCGGCACCCGTACATAGCGTTACCTGTGCTTTCTACGTCAATGTTGCTCAGACCAACGGTGCCCGCCGCAGCTGCGAAGGAAGTGGTGACGTATCCGATATCACTCTTAGCTCTACCAGACACAACTACAACCCTGACACCATTCACCATGGCCGATTCTACATCGGTTTGGCAACTTCCAATGCAAGAACCCTTGCCATTCGAGATGGCAAGGTTGGCTTTATCGCGTCCATTCTCGTAATCAAGATTATCCAACAATATCATTTTTGCGAGAACTCACTCCCTGCTAGTTCTGGGATATACGAAACTTTAAACCCCTTTCCCAAAAGGTGTGCACCGCAATCATGTGTCGGCGACTTTCGTGAGCTGTCGCTTGGTCAAGTCTCATCTCACTTTCGTGGCCTAATACTTTCAATATAGAAAATTCCTCCATCAATAGCGCCACCGTATGTATGTATTTTGTGCAACCAACATGTACGGTGGCAAACGTACGCTAGGGTATCAGGTTTCGCTCGCTCAACTGCATCACGGACCTACGGCCCTGCGGAATGCAACGATGCCGCGCTCCCACCTTCTCCGATGTCTGGCAGGTCGAGTTTGTGCCCACAAATAGCCGGTTTATCGAGTCAGTTTCAACCCACAATAAGCCGTCAGACAACAGCTTGAAACACTTGACAACTTTGTGGGCCTTAGTATTGAGTCTTGACTGCCTTTATATAAACACTGATCATAGGGGGGTTTATTCTTGTGATGGCTGCTATTATCAGAGAATGTTGGCAAGACGAAACAGAGGCTCATGGAAATCATGGATGCGACTAGCACTTCAAAGACAACAGAGATGGTGACCGAAACACCTCGCCAAGAAGATGGCCTCAACGAAAAGTCCAACTCTAGCAGCCAGGTGAATCTGGTTTACAGTGATGCCTCCCAAGAGCCTGAGATCCATCTTCGAACCTACGTTGCTGTTGTGGCCATGCTGCTTCTCAACTATGTTCAAATTATTGCCCTCCAAGGGCCTCCACTGGTGGCAAGTAAGACAATCCGGGCTGTGCCATTTCGAAGCGCTAACTTTTGCTTCAGCTAGATAATATGGGGAAAAGCCTCGGAAATCCCGCTGCCCAGGCTTGGATTCCCACTGCCTTGTCTTTGGTTCAAGCGGTTCTTGCGCCCGTCATCTCGTCAGCATCCGACACTTTCCAAGCCCGAAAGCTGATCCTAGTCGTGGGCTGTGTGATATCATTCATCGGGTCGGCTGTTGCTCCTGGCTCACAGAGCATATATCGACTCATCGTCGCGCAGATTCTAATTGGATTTGGCTTCTCTTCCACGGCCCTTGCATACAGCGTGCCAAGCGAGATCTTGCCCAAGAAATGGAGACCAAGTGAGTCCTCCGATTTGACGATATCAGGTAGAACAATAACTAACGTGGAAACAGTGGTGCAGTCTATTGTCAACATTGCAGCAGCCCTAGGGGCATGCTCGGGGCCTCTCATCATGGGGGCACTTTCTCGTAGTGACCCTATGAATGGTTGGCGTAATTACTATGTTAGTTACCACCTTTACACATTTTCCCTCCAACTAATGGAATGGCCACCCCTTGACAAGACGTATCTCTAACTCGCGGCAGTGGATGCAAATGGCCATGTGGGGGTTAACAGCAGTTTCTATTCTCATCGGCTACCGACCTAGAAAGCGATATACCGTCTACCATGAAATGTCTCTGAGTCAAAAGATCAAGGCCCTTGACTTGATTGGAGTAGGACTCTTTGCCTCCGGCCTCACTCTATTCCTGGTAGGACTTAACCTAGGAGGCGGTCAGTTTGCTTGGACGGACAAAAAGGTCCTTGCAACTCTGATTATAGGACTTGTCACGCTGCTAGCTTTCATTGTTTATGAGTGGAGAGGAACCAAGGTTGGTATCGCACACCACGATCTGTTTCGCAAAGGGGTCAGTTCTGGTCGAACCTTTTCCCTATTTATCGCCCTCATGTTCATCGAAGGCATCATGTTCTTTGCTTTTTCCATCTTCTACCCTGTTCTGTAAGTTGAGTATTTCCAAGCAGAATACTATATGCCACTAACATAATATACTAGGACAACCTCTCTGTTTGAACAAGACCCCTTGCTAGTAGCCGCGCGCGCCCAACCCTTTTGGATCGCCTGCGGAATATCAACCCTCGTCTGGGGCTACTGGAGCATCAAGGCCAAGTCCATCCGAGTTCCTCTCTCGGTGGCGTTTCTCATCTTTACCGGCGGCACCGTCGGGTTCGCCACCATTCAGCCAGACGACTCGCTGAGCACCTGGTTCTTTGCTGGCGTCTCAGGAATTGGGTTTGGTGGCCCTCTCATCTTGATTATTACCGGCATCCAACTTGCCACACCACATGCGCTCATTGCAACGGCAACGGCACTGGCCATCACAAGTCGTGCTGTTTCAGTGGCAGTGTTTACGGTCATCTTTAGCATTGCCTTCACCGAACGGCTTCAGCCAAACATTGCCAGTCAGGTGCCCATGGCCGCACTCAAGGCCGGGCTCCCAGTGTCGTCAGTGGAAGCTTTTGTCGGGGCGTTGGCGGCTAGGGACATGGCGGCCCTCTCGCAAATTCAAGGTGTCACGCCTCAGATCATCGCCGCTGGTATTCAGGCCCTGAAACAGGCGTTTGCAGACAGCATTCGGGTGGTTTTTATTATAGCTGCTCCGTTTGGGGCTCTTGCTTGCCTTCTCTGCTGGTTCTTGGATGACCAAAGCAAAGAGATGAACTATAGAGTTGATGCGCCAATTGAGGATTTGCATGCGCGTGCTCGAGCATCAGATGCTGTTATTGGGCCATGAATGGAGAGAAAGCTGTACAATAGGGAGTATTCTTGGTGATGAGCGAAATTCCTTTTTCCTGGGGGAAAGAAGATGGGTTAAATGGGAGTATTTACGAATATAGTAAATATAAATAAATTTTTGTCATGTTTTATATTCTTTCTCTGTGATACGGGGAATCTAGTACATGGTATTATTATTTCTTTAGCTAGTATAATTAATGTATTATAATACGTTCTGTGTTTTTCTCGCGGTATATTATAGTTTTATAGCCTAGTACCTCTTGAACAGTTTCTAGATCCTCCGTTCTAAAGTCCATAATGGCTGGCATATTTAACCTTCATCACCTTGAATATTAACCGTTTTTAGTCTTCTTCAGGCCCTTAGGGACAAAGGGGTCTTGTCTATATAAAGCAGCGGGAAGTCACTTCAACTAGGTCATCGAGTCCTTGTGTACATAAGTAACTATCGTCAACTTCGGGTCCGTGTGCCAGTTGTAAAGAAAGGTTCCAGGTAGACACTTTTAGTTATCAATCACTCCCGTCACATATATTCGCAAATAACTACTCGAAAAGTCATCTCCTATTAACTCTATACCCCTCTCGTTTTGTCACAGTTGGTATATAATTCAGGAGTTGCATTCTTCACAATTTAGTTATACTACTCTTCTTCAGCGCCAATTTTCTCCCCTTCCCCCCTTTTACCATTCAGACAGTCTTGTATTCGTCACTGCGCTCGCCTCCTCAGCATTCCTAGTTCACTAGGTAAAGTTCACTAGGTAAAGGAACGTGTATACTCCTCTATCTAGCCAAGCAATTGCCCACCGGCCTAGAAAAAAGGCCTCGATTCCGCAAAGACGCGACTCAACGGAAGAGCCTTAGTTTCGCGTCCAACGGGACCCATAACATCTCATCGTCACACCCGGGCAGTTGTGTCAGTACGTTAAAGATGGCAGAGTAGTGGGAACCTAGCAACAACTGGAGTTGACGCGGGTCAAATTGCGACATTTGACATCTTGCCTGATCCCGGCGCGAGTTCCATTCACAAAGTATTCTTGCATGGTCCGTTTTGGTTACCGTGAACTTGGTGCCAAAGTGATAACCCGAGTCCTCCTCTTCAAAATCAAGGTCGCCGGCGTCGCAGAGGTATTCAAGCTGAGCCCTGAGGTGGCCGGAAACTCTTGCATTTTTGGAAAATGATCCAACACGTTGCGTAGGGCTGCGAAGAAAGGTATTCAGACGCCCGCACTTGGAGCAACCACATGGCACATGGCTTAGAGCTAGTGTTGCGTTCTTGAGAGGCTTTTTCCCTACATATATCTTGACAAAGGCGCTTAGAATGACTGAAAAGAGAGTTTGACAATGCACCGAGTGAAGGGGTATGCCGCGGGAGAGTAAAACGGGAATAATCGAGTGTAGAAACGGCAACCACAAGATGGGAAATTCTGTGCTTTTAATATTTGCAGCGCCCGCAGTGATCTTGGAAATGAGTAGTGCCATGAGATTATCCGTTTCGGTGCTGATATGGACGACGTCTGAGAAGAAACCAGCCAGCAGTTGAGGAATGATGACTGCTCGGACTTGTAGTCTTTTGGCTTGCAAGTCCGTGTATGCTTCGGTAACCGATGTTTTCCTCGCATGCTTGAAGTCCATGACATGTATGAGAGACCGTGTCTGGTGAAGATGCAGAGAAATGTCCTTTGCAAAGGGATCATTGTGTAGCATCTCGTGTCGGAAAGTAAGAAAAAAGGCGATGGCGTCATTTCTTTTTTCGAGCCGTGGCGCCACACTGCCAAATGAGTTAGCATAATACGAAATAGTGAAGCGGCGTTGTAGAACGCACGTTTGAGAAATAAATTCGAGGGGGTCACGGAAATACAAGGCACTGCGCACGATAGCCTGTCCATCTTCGTTGCCCAAGGCCATGGATGAGGAGGCATCAATACACTCGCAAATCATTTTGCGAGCCCAGTCCATCAACTCAAACTCGGAAGACCCCGAATGTGGAAAATTGTTTTTCGAAAGGGGTGCCAAGTTTCCAATAGCCTTGAACGCATCGATGAAGAACTTGTAATTCGAAACAGCCACGGATATTCTACCACAGTTAGCATGCCAAAGAGGAATCACACGCAGCGCCATGTAATAGACTTGCCCTTTTACAATAGCCTTAAACCGGATCTTGGCGCCCTTCTCGCCAAGTCGAAGCCATTGCCGAAGCCAAATGAAGAAATCAGGCGGCAGGTCGCCGCCATGTTCCTCAGCAACGCGTGTCAAAAACCCGAATTCCTCGAGACCTACTGCGATTTGAAGGGCAAGAAACATAGCATCCCCGGTGAGAATTGGATTGTGGTCCGGAAAAGGTATGAGCTTGGGTTTCATTTGCCAGGCATAATCACAGAGTTTCAGTACTCGCCTCCCTAATGACTCTGAGGCCTGTTGATGCACACAAAGTCCACCGAAATATCGAATCATGGAGTCGAGATTGTCACGAACCGCATCAAAATCTGATTCATCCTTAATAAAACCGATCAACGAACCGTGGGGGACGATGGCGATAGCCTAGATTTTAAAGAAATCAGCCGTCATGGTCATGTAGACGTCCCAGGGACAGAAAAGGGGTGGGAGCATCCATTGTCATACTTTTCCTTGACGCCAGTGCACCACGTCTTCGCCTAACTGTGAAGAATGAAAATGTTAGCACCTCTGGCTATTAGCCTGAATTCGGGGTTTGTGAAGACAAACCGCGTCGCGTTCTATTTTCTTCAGTTTTACATCACGACGTTCAAAGTCTCCTTCGAGATCGACACCATTAGGGGCCGTGTCTTTTAGCACCAGGTTGCCGTCCAAGTCTACCAGAGCTTTCACCAGCGTCTGGAATTCAGTGTCTTCCATTTCAGAATAATCTGCACAATAATCATCATCTCCATCTTCAACCCCGAATTCTTCTTCTTCTACATCCCCGTCGTCATCGTCGGGATCATCTTCGTCCTTACTGAGATACACTTCTCTCTCCTGGTGTTCTAGTTCGGCAAGGAGAATTTCAATGGGAAACTCACGGGATAAAGCTTTCAACGCCTGGACTTTTTCAAGGTCTTGCATCTTTAGACCCTGAAAGGAAAAATTGGCTTTGGTGTAGGTATAGTGAAGAAGATGATAGGCGCACGTGCACTCAGAATCCTGCTTCATCTTCGAAAGCCACCGTTCTAGAGAGCCGCGAAGCTTGTAAAACATAGGTTGCTGTATGGCCGCCTTTAATGGCAGTGGTACAGGCGGATCGAGGCCAATATCAAAAACCAGAAACCATAGAAAGCCTGAATGCACCTCGGCCACCTCGCAAAGAGATTGCGGGTAGAAGCAGGCAAAGGAATGGCATTTCGAGGTTCGTAGCCGCATTTCATCCATGTCGGGACATGTCATAGTAATTTCACCTCCCTCGTGTGCTGATGGCAGACACAGGAGCATGAGGCCGAACATGCCCGGGCGCTCATCCTTGAGACTGCATAAACTGGGTCAGGAGACGTGCAAAAAAAATAAGAAAAATAAGACATGAAAACATACGGCGAGTGCTCTGTTATCGATGGGACATTCCCCGCCTCGTAGATGTGCATCTGGAAAGGCTTGGCCGTAACACGAGTGTTGATCCCTAGATTCCGGGAGGCCTGGTCGCACAAAGCTTGAAGGAAGATAGGCCAGTTAGGGTGGTGCAGGGAGAACTTATTTGCATCCAGAACCCAGTTGCCTGGGATAGGAACATCGGTATTCCGGTATGAACTCTCGCTGGGTGGAAGCGGACGAGCCTTCTCAATCATCTGGCGAGCCTGCGTCTCATTGAGTGGCATGGCTATATCGCCGACCCCGTCGACAAACAGGCCGCCGGGAATCTGTCCGGGCGGTTGGTTGATTGATTGGAAGGACCTCGGCAATGGGACATTTGCAAGATCCTCGAAAAGCTTCGTCGAGCTGTCATTCCCGTCTTTGAATGTCCATGCCCAACCCATGTCTCTGTGTTACTATTTCTTGCTGCGTGGACTATGTGACTGAGTGAACAACTGGCCACCTTGAAAGACGATATAGCCGAAGACACGAACGTGTAGTCGATGAGTGAATAAAAAAAGGCAAGAGAACAAACGGCGTGGGGAGGCTGGGAATGGGAATGGGAATGGGACTATCAAGGACAGTTGTGCTGTTCGGGCAGCGAAATATTCATCATCGGGCAGCATCCCCGCACTGAAGGCCTTGTGAGTAATTCGGTGTGACCGGGATGCTGGCACGGTCCTTCCTGAGCCCAACATGACTTGATTCGTCCTATGAAGAAGGAACGTTGTTGGGTTGATATTGTGTTACCCTGAGTGGCCCCCTATCAAGTTGCGGAGAACCTCTACGCATACAGCATCATGATTTCTTCCCGAATCTTAAATTAATCCAAATACAATAAAGCTTCTAGTGCTGCCGCGTGCGTGCCTTGTGTATTGTCTTTGAATACATTGCCAGTCTTCACTCGTGGCATACAGGCCTAGCCTCACTTTGCTCACCCTTCGTTGTACTCCTACCTGTAAACAAGTCGACAACCGACTGGCGGGAAACTATAGACTCTATGAGAAGCTCACATCATCTCTCGTCATTTCCATCTATTATTGGTAGTTGACGGCGTAGATTTTAAACCGGCTCCCATGACCCTCCCAGGTAATCTTGCCAGCATTCTCACGATATTCGGGATCATGCTTAGACGACTTGCCCAAACTAACATACTTGCCAGACTTTGCGCCCTTGGCACGCAAGGTATAAGTTGAACCTTGAGCTTCGTACTCGAAAATAAACGCCCTGGCCGCCGACTTTTTAGTCGTCAGACTTCCATTCTTTGAAACATAGGACTTTTCAGAGGCACTTTGGAGGTGGAAGGTGTTTCCAAAACGATTTCCATCGACCGCATGGAGAACCCAGCGCTGTCGAGCATCATCATGCTCCTCGGCGCTTTCAAGAGCAACGACGTGCCCATTTCCCGCGTGGCCGAGGCCAAGACCGTTGCTCTCAATGGTAATATAGCGGCCTTCGGTAATGGCGCCCCGAACCTGCTTGAAGCCATCTTCGACAAGCTCGTCCATGTTCTGCCCGGCATTGGCCTCGCCATACGGCACCGGCGGGTAGTTGCCATGCTCGTAACCGTTCCTGCACCTGGCCGGGCCAACCCAAGGGCCCGTGAGAGATCCCAGAGACAGATTGCCGCTCCAGTTGTTATCGGTGCGAGACTCGGGGTCGCGCACCTCTGTGAGCTGAGGCAGGGAGTAGTTGGGGTTATCAAAGTCAAAGGCGTTCACCATGTCGGTCATGTGCTGGCGCCTCCAGCCGGATATCCCTTGATTAAACACATCATAGCCGTTGGCCGCAGCCCAGGCCTCGAGAAACAGGAGATCAGAAGTGTGGTCACCGGTCTCGGCGAATACATGGCCTCCGCGCGTCCAGGGGGAGACGATGAAGCGAGGGATACGAGGACCTAGTCAAGCCAGTTCAGCATCGGCGCAAACAGTCATGCGGTAAATCGACTTGGCAGCAGACTGGAGATCATGTTGAAACTCACCAGGACCGATGGGAACTTGTCCATTGTTGGCATTGAACGGATCCGTGATCCATTCGCCGGGGGCATCTTGGGGAGCAACGGGTGGAATTACATGATCGGCCCAGCCTCCCTGTTCGTCGTAACTTATAATGAGAGCGCTTTCTTTGTACGCGGGGCTATTTGTGACAGCCTCGACAACCTTCTTTTGTAGCCACGCTCCATCGATTGGCATATTAGGAGTGTGTTCGCTCAGTTCCTGCGGTCCTATAACCCAGCTGACCTGAGGAAGGGAGCCTTCGGCACAGGCGTCATAAAAGGCTTGGAGGCCCGGGAAAGAAATTCCGTTTTCTCGCAGAGCGTCACCCTCTGGAGCGTCTTGATATTGCTTAAAGTAGGCCAGCATATTATCCTCAAAGTTATCAAAGTCCTGCCAGACTTGCCATGAGATGCCGGCATCTTCAAGGTACTCCGGCATAGTCTTCCAGACAAACGGAAAACAATTGTTGCCAGGAGAGTCACAGCCAGGACTAGCACGATTGGATAGAATATTGCCGCCCTGGCCATCGGGATTGGTATAGGAGCCTGCAGTATTGACAGTTCCGCTCATCCACATGACGCGGTTGGGATCCGTAAGACCGAGGATACTCTGATAGGAATTATCCATAACTGTCCAACCTTCAGCAATATCCCAGTGCGTGGGCACGTCCTCGCGTTTGTAGTAGCCCATGCTGTAGTCTGTGTCATGTATCGCCCACCCGTCGCCTCGACCGTTATTGTAAGCGCCGTGCATGGCTTCCCAGGTATTTATTCCTCCTCCCATGCACTGCGTAGCTTCTCTCCAGTCGCCGCCAAGATAGTTGATGTGCCACGGTGACAAGTAGTCGACCCCGGCCTTGGGTTGTCTCATCGATCTGTAGTTGCAACGATTAGACGAGGAACAGGAAATGGACTGGGACGTTCTCACTGTCTCCAGACGGGAGTGCCATCGTTGACTTGTACATTGGGGTCACCAAAGTTGCGAACCCCGGCCATGGTGCCAAAGTACTGGGCATAGTCTCAGCAGCAAGCTCTCGAGTCTTCAGTATAACAGACCTGTGGTGAGGACATACGTGGTCGAAGGACCTGTTCTCCTGCATAAACAAGATGATGTGTTTAATGTCTTTGAGTGAATCGGCCTGAACAGTGACGGCCGAAGCCATCAGCGTCAAGCCGAGCGTTGAATGCCACATGATGAAGCGAGACGACCACTCGCAGTTTTCTGATCGTCAGAGGCGTCGCCGTAATGCTGATTACAGAAATGAGCTGCGAAGGGACAGCGAGTTACACGTTGACTCAAAGTTCCACTGAAATTCCATGTTATTCCTGAACGCCATTTTAAAACTTCAAACCGGCTGGGTCACCGACATATTGAGACGAGGAGACAACTCCGGAATAGGGAGGGCTTGTGGTTGCTGTCATTGCAGAATCAAGGAGGTAGCCATAGTATAACACGCACTATGCAATAGCAAGCGTGCAAGTTCCCCAAAAGCAAATAGGCACAGAGCCTTTTATACATTGTCAGGAACTCGGCAAGGCTTACTACCATGATGGGCTCTTTTCCTCTTCCCCGAAAACAAGACTGGCAAAATTGGCGGCTTTGGGTTTTCCAACAATGGAGTCGGTGAGCACTTACTTTAGCAACTCCACGCAGATGCATCTGTGAGCAACACGTGTGTTATTATAATACAATCTCAGAAGTCATTGTCCAAATTGACTTTCTGTCGCAGACGGTCTCAATGTGTTAAGAAGGCACGTTGTTGCATTCTCCCGTGTTAAAGGAGTGGTCGGGCTCCTTTAAAAAGCCTCGACGCGACTGTCCATCCGTGGTAATGCGAGTAAATTCCACACTAAATCATAATAATCTTTTCGAATTCCAGTTCCTTCTTCATATTGACCTGCGGCTTGGAATACAGGGGTTGCCCGGAGATCCTCCCGGAAATACCCAACAGGTCTCGGCCACTCCGGTCCGCCATTGGCCATGTGTACTGGTTGTTTCAGATATTTGATAGCCATCAGAGTCCATGTAGCAATGGATAGCTGGGATTGTTCCTGGTTGTACATTACAATTGCATTGGTGATACTCCGTGGTGCCAAGGTCCCTCGCGTGTATCCTCCCTTGCAGATACTTAAAAGCCGCCATGTAATTCTCCTTTACTTCTCTTACCAGCCACGTTTGGCATGAAGTTCAAGACCTAGCCCTTCGAGAATTGTAGGCCAACCGCCAGACATGGTCAACATTGCGCCCAGGAGCCCATGGCGGGTGCTGACGGGGATTTCTTTGACGGTATTCACCTTCACTGGCTTAACTCTGTTCTTTGTCATTGTTTTAAAGCATCTCGATGTTGATTTTTTGACAAATTCCCAACGATTAGCAGCAACTAGCCATGGTACGGACGGCAACTTGTCTCACTACGGAGAACCTGAGGATGATTCATTCGCGCTGCATCCGGAGCAACACGTCTTTCGCGCGCCACACACAATCCGTTTGGGCTGGAATATCACCAGAGAAGCACGCAGGCCAGATGGAGTACTTAAGGATGTGTACCTCATCAATGGTCCGTACATTTTCATTGTCTCTTGGTTTCCCTTGCTCCCGAGTCCTGGCCGCGCTGACCGCGGACAGGCCAGTTTCCGGGCCCGACCATAGAAGCAAGATCGGGCGATACAATCGAAGTGACTGTTGCCAATGGGATTGCCCATGACACTCATGATGGCATTGCAGTCCACTGGCATGGCCTGCTCATGAAAGGTGAGCCTGCCCCCTGTTTGATCATGCCTTGACCACTTATACTGTCAATAGGCTTCAACGATATGGATGGCGTCGTCGGGGTAACTCAATGCAGCATCTCTTCGGGCCAGTCATATACTTACAAGTTTGACATTCACAAAGAGCAACATGGCACGTTTTGGTATCATGCACACTCGGCCGTCAAGCGGGCGGATGGCTTGTACGGCGGGCTAGTGGTACACAAGCCGGCAGACAGCAGGGCAGTTCAAAGCGATGCTTCTCTCTATGGGTATGAGAGCGAGAAGATGTTGCTTATTGGCGATTGGTACCATTTGCCGGCTGATAGAGTGCTTGCCGAATACAAGGATTTTCGAAATTTCGCCTACGAGGTTAGCAGATCCATGCCCCCCTACTTGGTCGGCAGCCTTTTCACAACTTGATTGCAGCCTGTGCCAGATTCATTATTGATCAACGGTGCTGGTTCCTACAACTGTAGCAATGCGAGGCCAGGGAAACCAGTCGACTGCGTCGAGACAGACGCTCCTGAAGTCAAGGTTCCTGGTAACAAGGCTGTCCGGTTACGCATAGTCAACACGGGTGCGTCAGCTGGTTATTCGCTGCAGCTCGAGGGCGCAAGTTTTCAGCTCATCACGGTTGATGGCGGCACAGCCGTATCGAGATCTACACCGCAGTCGTCTACACTTGGTGTTCTCTATCCGGGGGAGCGTATGGATGTGTTATTACTGTCCGACGAAGCATCGCCTAATAGGAACAAACCTCACAATTCAACTATGAAAATAATACTTGATCTAGAGTAAGATTCGTCTCTTCTTCTTCCTCTTGCCCAAGTTTGTTTCTGCTAACTCTCATCCATCTCACCAGATTAATGCAACTAATGAATCCGGCGCTCACCCGGATGCAATCATTTTCTCTTTCGTGGATACCGTCCGCAAAGACAGAACGTCAACGGCAAGGCAACCCTCCCAAGGTTGACATCTACAATATTCAAAATGCCGAGGGGCTTCTCATACCCGAGGACGCACCCCTGCGAAAAAACCCAGTCGAAGTCGCTTTGCTATATACCAGCTTGAGCATCAATTCCTTCAAGAACGATGAACCGTGGGGTGAGCTCAATCACACATCGTGGACGTGGAAAGACCCCCAAGCAAGACCTCTACTGGCAATTGATAGAACTGAGTGGGAAAATGGTACGGAGCAGGCGAATCCCCTTCGAACGTTTCGCGTTCCTCGATACGAAGCCGGCGAAGACCGTTGGTTAGACTTGGTGGTGAACAATGTCGATGACAAGGGCCACCCATTCCACTTGGTAAGTATTCCGCCTAGCATTCATGATGATACGTACTAATTCAAGTTAGCATGGGTACGAATATTATGTTATAAGTTCACGGCAGGGTGAACTTGGCCGTCCATACAATCCGTTTCAAGGCGACCACAGCGCGCACCGTGTGAACACAAACACGGCGCTCAAAAAAGATACCGTCTATATAAAACCACGAGGTTATGTTATTTTGCGATTTCCGCTAGATAATTCTGGCCTATGGCTCATTCACTGCCACGTTTTATGGCATCAAGCGGTAGGTATGGGCGTTGTTCTTCAGGTTGGCAATATATCCCAGACAAGCGCGCATAAAGCAGAAAATTCTTGCCAAAGGTAAATACACGTTATAAAATAATATGCAGTCGAAATAACCATCACTGTTCTCCTATGTTGTAACTGCTTTGTCATAAAGTAGCCGCTACGATCCTCTGCCACTAACATTGAGAATTGGACTCGCTCTTGGTATTCAATCTATCTAGGAATTTGAGCCCTTTCGTGAGATCTCAAAGTTCTGATGCTTTCGCCAGCAATGTGGGATTCTGCTCTGCTAAATGCTCGGCCCCAGACTTTCAGCTTTATACTACCCTTTGCACCACCGATCTAAGTGCGAGGGGTGACGTCGACGGTAGTATTTTATCATAGCAGAGTTTTTTTGGATGCCAGGATGGATGTAGAGCTCGAGGGCCATTGGGAACTTTTGGCGGTTGGCTGCTCGGCTTTGAGGTGAAGCAGGACACGATGAGATCTCAATGCCAGAGACTCAGAGCACAGTTGAGCGGTTGGCAGACGCCCAGAGTGCTCAGTGGACCGCGCCTGCCAGATCAGCGTGCGGGGTATCACTAGGCAACAACCAGCCAATAGTCTGGTGCTCCGTACTATTGACATGTAACTATTTTCGGATCCAGGATTCCACACAGGGGCTGCTGATATTTAATCCAATGGACAGCGAGCGGCCAATCATCTTACACCATTCCGCAACCAGGTTGACAAGTAGATCTCGGATATTATTTCGCCAAGTAGGATCTTAACGGGGCAAGCTCGGGCATCGGCATCGGCTGAGGTGCGCACCGTCGTCTCCCGATAGCCTCATTGCAACTGTTTACCAAACAATCCTCCTACAGGCTAGTATCGTGGGTTTGCCCGGATCTGCCGGTACCTCGGCAGTTTCAGGCGGGGCCATGACTCCTGCTCCACTTTGAGACGAACTTCAGGTGAATCCTCGCGGAACCTGTCAATCCTGCCCAGTTGCTAATAAGTTGCACGTAGTTGCAGAAACTCACCAAGCCAATAGGAGTTGTTGAATCGTTGACTAGTCCCAGCCGGCCGAAAACAGACGTCCAACCCCCCCATCCCTTGAAGCACAACTCGTCTGGAGTTCACACAAGAAACACAAACCGTTTCTCGTGATCTGCAACTAGGGACCCCGGATTGGTAGTCTGTCTACATTATGTCCGGTAAACGCCCGGACATGCCAATACCGCCGTTCTATGCCGGTAGTTTTGTCAGCGGAGGAAAATACATGGTCCACAGCAAGCGCGGATTAGTTTGGATGAAGGAAGAGACGAAAATATATTGGCATTCTCTCCGCCAAAGCTCCAAGAGACAAAAGAAGTCGGTAGTGCTGCTGAATTCAAGGCATCATTGAGCTTGAATGCCTTGGCCTCTTGTAGCAGCCTCTGTAGGTCTCATAAAAAGGGTCAAGTTCATCTGTAAGCTATTTTTGCCCGCTATCGGTAGTTAATGAAGCAACTAGTGACCTCACGCAACACATCGCGATGCCGACATAACCGGCGACCACAATTTACGTGACATTCGTAACCAACCAGTTGACTTGCGTAACCATACACCATTACTACGCAAGATCCGAACCAGTGCAAGAAGTCGCCGTCCTGGGCCACTGTTACAGATTCCTATCAATGTTGTAGAAGACATCGCTTCTGTTTTGTCTACCAATCAATTGTCTTGTTGTCGGGGTTAGTGTGTTTAAGAACTAAAACCATCGAAACACCTCCGCAGGTGACAACCAAGAATAGCTGTGCCGATCATCCGCATACCCAAGTTTCCAGCAATGGGAGAGACCTCGGCAGGACAAATTAATAATATAAATAGAGTAGAGGATCGCCAGTAAAGATTTGCGTTTCTGAGATATTCTCATCAGTTCATCCTTACTTCCGATATCTGTTCTGCCTCTTTTAATCCGTCATCAAAACTCTTTGCTACACCTTTTTCTTCAAGATAATTGCATCAGGATGCATTCTTCAACCATTTACGTAGCCCTGGCGGCCTTTACTTCCACTCTTGTCGAAGCCCATGGCAAGATTAGCGTCGCTGTAAGCTTTTGCATAATCCTGCAAACAAGCAACTCATTTCTGATAACCTTCTCTAGACAGGCGATGCTGGCGGCAACACCACAGCCCTTGGTATCATGGGCGGTGTTGTGCCGGGGCAAGGCCCCAACCGGCAAACCGAGCCCGATACGACCATTTTCCGCTCTAGAAATGCGGCTTCTGATGGCCTGGGCCGAACCAAAGGCAATGGCGCGAACACCCTTGAAGGCATGAGTCGCGTTGTCGCCATGTCTGGCTCGACTCTCCCCCAGGTCAGCAGCAATGGCGGGTACATTTCTGCGACTTACCATATTGTGACTACCGTATGTAAATATTCCCACATAATTTATGGGGTCGTAATGCGTATTGACATCGCCATCAGGATGGGGCTGGCCCCGTGAGAGCCATCATTGATCCTTCGGGAACCGGTCAGTTTTCGCAGGGCACCGAGGCAGAAGTGATGACACAGGTCCCGGGAAGAAACGGTAATATTGCCCCTGGTCCAAAGAGCAATAACCGCCCACAGAACGGCCAAGGTGGTGGTGGCGGCGGCTTGATTGGCAACCTGCTTGGGAAACGAGCGTCCAACGTCGATACGGATCATGTCAGTAGCCTCACCCACACCTCCATCTACACACCGTGGACACAGACTGATATTCATGTAGCCTCTCAAAGTTGCTATTCCGGCTGGGACTACCTGCCAAGGCTCCATGGGCGGCATGTCCAATGTGTGTCTCCTAAAGGTTGCCAATCCTAGCGGCGCTGGCCCTTTTGGCGGTGTGATTGCATTCCAGATGGCTGGTAGCGGTGCCAATTCGACTGCTACCAATGGCGAGACAGCTGGAGGCAGCGAAAATGCCTCCAACAGCAATGGGGGCAATGCGAACATTGGCAATAGTAATGACTCCAACAACAACGGGGCAGCCAACAACGGGGCAGCCAACACCGGGGAAAATGCAAGCAGTGGTAACGATATCACCTCGACCAACGAGGCCAAAAAGGGCAACTCATTCTCTAGCAAGGGAAATAACAGAGAGAAGCGTGCTGTCATGTTTCAGTCTTAAGGGGCATCAAGAACTGATCATCCGAAAGGTACTCTTACCTCACTCAACACTCAGATCACAAGGGCAGGCAGCTTGGATACCGAATCTATACTATGAGAAGTCAAACTACAAAATAATATAGTCGGATTTTTTTTAAACAAGCCTTCGCTTTCCAGTGCTGATATGAACCCTGTTCTTGATACCCCGGCACATGTGCACGTCACGGGAGAATATAAATCAGTAGTCAAGCGCTTGTCACTACACTGCCTTCGGTCCTAGTCGTCTGCCATATAGTCGAGAGTAAGAGTATAACCGAGGTGCTGGCAAAATAGGCAGCGCTGTGTTATTCCATGGGCACTGTTTATACACGCTCAGCCGCCATGTGCCATGAGATATGTTTGTAGTGTTGTTGACAGCCAAATGTGCCTAGATCAGCCTTCCTAATCCCTTGTACCTAATTAGAATGAGATGGCCAGTATTCTTCCGAAAGCTGCTTCTCAAAGCCCGGCTCCCTAGTTGTCTCAATATACTCATAAATATAGCCAATAAATAGGGCGATGCGTAGGCGTAGAGCCTGATGCTGCTCATCCGAGCCACTTCGCTATCAGGGCAATTTAAACTTGTGATCATGCTGGGAACTCAGCGGTCATACGCTCCGGGCTTTCGGGAAGACCATAGAACCACTCCTTTACAGGAAACAATATCACCAAAATTTTGCTTGCATCGGTAACCTCGGGTGTCCAATCTGAGTCCATTGCCGACGAATCGTCCCCGGTCGCTTGCGGAGCAAAGACATGGCCGAATTGGGAGATAGACGAGTCGGGTTATGGGGCGGACATTAAGTGTATTGTGTCAACAGAGAGAAGTTGACAGTAGGATGTTTGCCTCCAGGTCGTCATCAAACCCGGATGAGGCTTCAACCAATTCGCCATACAAGGGTTGCCATACAAGGGTGCTTCTTCTCTGCAGTTGCAGTTCTCTCAACGCAGAATACCAAGGCGGTTGGCCGCTTCCCGGATGAGTTTTATTAATTTGGTTAAAGACAGAAGAGATCCATTGTCCCTCTGGATGCGAATCAACCGAAATTTTGATGAACATGAAAAGCTTTAAGTTTGTAGTGTAGGCAATGTCACTAACGGGCTCAGGCAGCTGTGAGGGATCAAAGTGGAGAATAATTGTTCCATGTTATAATCGCAAATATGGCCCAACCTAGCATCTAATTCGCCGGTCTGGTGGTCTAGTGGTATGATTCCTCTTTCGGGTTACTTCCCCAATTCGTTAGAATTGAATATAGAGGAGGTCCCGGGTTCAATCCCCGGCCAGACCCAATGGATTTCTTTTTGTGGATTGTAGTTGACGCGCAACTTTTTTATTCATGTGGAGAATGAGTGTTTGTGGTGCTTGGGGCTCGGTCTCGAGATTATGAAAATTTAAGACAGGCAGAGTGCTGCTGCCAGGACTGACTCCTTTTTGGTCCGTTGGAATGAGCACGGGGTAGTGCCAGCAACATGAATGAATGATCGACCACAGCACCGGATGACGCGACAAGCAAGATAGTAAATTTTTGCAATGTCAATTTGATGTCGGGAAGACAATGTCCACCCTCGATTACTCTTTTCGGTAGTGAGAGGTTGGCGTGATGGTCATCAGATGGCAGGAGCTCCTTTCTTCGCCATGGCTACCCGAATTCTGGGTCCGTAAATAGCCACGACTGACGTGTGGAGATACACAAGGGTCTTATGAATCGGACCATGGTGCATAATTCCTGATTCATTTTTGCATATGTATAATGCGGGTGCCTCATCTGAATGGTTTGTCCAGGTAACTAACAAACACGGAGGAGAAAACACCCCAACAATTAATATGGGTCTCCCTTGCTCCTAAGCTTATCCTAGCGCCGAGACAGCTGACGCGCGGAAGCCCCACGCCAACCAGCGAACTGGGTGAGATGTCGCCTCGTGAATCTGACATCTCAACCCATAAAATCCCTTATAATATTCACATTCACGTACGCCGCCTTCCTTAGCGATCGTCGACTATCCGAAATCTGCTCGCGGCTCTGCCGATATGCTCTCATCACCAGAATGATACATCACCATGGTGTTCATCGGCCTTCTCTCCTCCGACAAGGCCTCGGCCAGTCGGTCGAAGCCTACCCAGGAGACCGAGTTGCTGCCAGAATACATCGTCGACGAAGCCCAGCTCCCGTGCGTACCTCCGGAACGGCCAAATCTGCGAGAGCTCAACACGAGCCTTGAAGCGCTTGCCGCCGTGTTTCCCGACATTCAAATCGAGGTCTTTAGAGAATTGCTGTCCAACTTTGACGGCGAGTCGAGACTGGCTTTGGTAGCAAATGCGCTGCTCAAGAATCGAGTCGATTGGGTCAAGGGCAGGTGGAAGGTTGCGGACAAGCAGGAAGCTGCCGCCGCTTCACTGCCCAAGAGTGACATGTTTCGAAGTCAAGAATACATACAGGCCGTGAGGACCCTGGCCGTACACGAGTTCCGCGGCCTCTCCAAGTCTACCGTCAACGCCGTGCTCGCAGAGTCCAACCACTCCTACCTGGACGCCCGACGGACGCTGGTCACACTGTCTTCGAAATCCTGGCGGTTTACGATACAGTCACTCCTCTTGCGGCGGAAACCCCTGACGACGGGGGAGGCAGAGCATCACCCCCTGGTGGTATGGCGATCAACCGGCCAGGGTTCCATCACACCCACCGTCAGGACGACTGGAAATGCCGAGCTGGACCGCGAACTATACGATGCACTCATCCGGCCTCTGAAGCAAAAGATGAAGGATGACCGAGAAGTCAAAGACCGGATTTTGGCTGTTTTGCTCAACAATGAAGAGGCAGAAGCGGCATCCGCGACGCATGAATGTGCCTGTTGTTTCATCGATTACAGTTTTGAAGAGTTTACAAGTTGCAGCAGAGACGGGCACATGATTTGTTACAAATGCGTCCAAAGCTCCATCAAGGAAGCCCTGTTCGGCCAAGGATGGCTGAGCAATATCAACACCGACACCGGCACTCTGAAGTGCTTAGCAGTCGATGGCGGCGGGTGTGCGGGCCACATTTCATCCGACTATATTCATCGAGCATTCATGGAGGAAAAATCAGGAGCAGACATACTTCACAAGTTGGACCAACGACTGGCCGAGCACAGCCTCGTGGCATCCAAGGTTCCGCTGATACACTGTCCGTTCTGTAACTACGCCGAAATCGACGACATCTATCTCCCCTCACGCGAAGCGCGGCTACGCTTCAAACTAAGAAACCTTTACAACCTGGTCGTCATCTCCATTGTAATAGGCGCCTTGATCGTCATCTCCCCCTTTGCGCTGGTGGCAGCGCTGATTTGCGTCGCCGTCAGCGTAGAGCAGAACATGTGGCGAGACATTGGCGCGGAGTGGAACAAGGCCGTCCACAGGCACTGCCGGCGGCGCCGCGGCCTTCGATTCTCGTGCCAGAACCCGAAATGCGCCAGGGTCTCCTGCCTGTCGTGCCACAAGGCATGGACCGACATCCACGTCTGCAACGAGTCGTCCCTCGTGGCGCTTCGAACGCAGGTCGAGCAAGCCATGAGCATGGCCATCAAGCGCGTGTGCCCGCGCTGCAACACGTCCTTTGTCAAAAATGCGGGCTGTAACAAGCTCACCTGCCCGTGCGGATACAAGATGTGCTACGTGTGCCGCGCCGACTTGAGCGACGAGGGATATCGTCATTTCTGCGACCACTTCCGTCCGGATGGCGACCCGCGGCCCTGCACGCAATGCGACAGGTGCAACCTCTGGGAGTCGGAGGACATCGACACAGTCCTACGGGAGGCCCGTGAGGTGGCCGAGAAGAAGTGGCGGGAGACGGAGAAGCGGGAACTGTCTGGCGCCGAAATGGCGTATCTCGAGACGGGTGTGGCATCAAGGAGCGCCAACTCGAGAATCGACCAGCTGTTGACCAATGGGACCTCCCCGACTTTGTCTGACTTTCTTGATCTTCTTGTCGAAGCGATTTACTTTTGACACTGCCAGTATTACCTCTGGATTTGCATTATTGCATGTAGGCTTTTTTTTTTTTTATTGAACGGAAATATTCTTCTGGGACATGGGATGATGGCGTTTGCTCGACGGGCTTGGTGGTATGTGTCTACGGAGTACCGGGCTGTTGAATTATGGGACGATGGGAAGCCACACGTACACACTAGTAGTACACTACTATAGTTATAATGATTGCATTTTGCAGCGGTCACTTGATGATAGGAAGCCGATAATACATAACAAAATGCGCTACCAAGTTGGAACGAGGTCAGGCATGATTCATATGTGATTGCGTCTGCCGATATCAGCATGTGCAAGCACCATCTATGCGAAAGGCAAAAAATGCATCCAAATAAATCATTTACAATACAAACAAATTCATTATGATACATGACATTCAGTGCTTGCATAATTCCTCCTCCCAATAAAGCAATGTTCACACGTCTCGTTCTTCATCTTTTTTTACATATTCCCCAGCTCAATCAAATCTTGCTGTTACCGCCATCGAGCAGCTCGACGCCCGCGCCACCAATAGCCAGCTTACCAGTCTCCTTAATCTTAGTCTGGAAGATGACCTTGTTGCCGTCGCGCCACATCTCCGTGATGAGGGTCTGGCCGGGGTCAACAGTACCAGCAAAGCGGACCTTGATGTTCTTAAAGGGGCCAAAGGTCTCGTAGATGGCCTTGCCGGCGACACCGAAGAAGCAGAGACCGTGAAGAATGGGACGCTTGAAACCGCCCATCTTGGCAAAGGAGGGATCAATGTGAAGGGGGCTGTCACTACGCATTAGCAGGGGTTTTCTGGCCAGACGTATAAGGGGAAGGACGCATACTTGTAGTCGCCGCTAAGACGGTAGATAGCAGCCTGGTTCTCGTCCGTCTTGGACTCGACGACGGCATCAGGAGCACGCTTGGGGATGGCGTGCGGGGCGGTAGCAGCGCCGCGATCCTGACCCTTCTTGGGCCCGTCGAAGCCACCGCTGCCG